ATAGAGAGGGATGGAGGGGTTGAAGGGAGGGCAGGGGAAGGGGGAAAAATAAGAACCAAGAGAGATTATGTAAAGGTGCAAATTTCCCATGATGAATGAATCAATAAAATAAAAATTAAAAAAACAAATAGTAGTAGCAATATTACCATGCTACCACTAAGAAAGTAATATTGGAGATGTTGATATTAACACATCTATGTTTATGTGATGATGATAATGAAACACTGTTGTTACATTAGCTCACTCCATTAGTATGCTACTGGACATTGCTGCCAGAAAGCTAAGCAAAAGTCTGGTGAATTTTACTTTGCCTAATAGCTGCCTCCAGTTAGAATGGTCTTATGATCTAATCTCAACAAGTGAACATTTTGCTTAGAAAAATAAGCAACAATTCATGAGTAATCTCAGAACTTCACATAGAAGGTAAAAAATGTATTGATCAGAGTAAAACCTTGGTTTATGAATGCTTCTCTTCACAAACAATTCGGTTCACAAACAGAAGCCTTAGGCAAAATTTTGCTTCCATTCATGAATGCCACATTGGTGAGGAACACAACTGTGGCCAATCTCCATGCATGAACACAAATGCAGACATCTTCCCCAGAATTGCGGAACAAATTAAGTTTGTAAATCGAGGTACCACTGTACATACTAGGTGACATAAATGCTTGTTAAACGACTTTAATCTATGCAATAGTGGTATAATAGATTAAATATGGGTACAGATCCTCTGCTACTGCTCCTATTGAGAGAGGTGGCATCTCATTCTCTCTTTAAAATTGGGTTGGCTTAAGGGATTTGATTTTCCACAAGAATGCTGTAGAAGTAACTTTTCTGTACATCTGAGGATATAGGTAAATGCTTAGAAAATTCTGCATAAAGTCTTATAACAATGTCTTCAGGAGTCTTGAACTGCCCATGTAAATAATCTACCTGAGGTCATCACGCTTGAGAGAGCATGTGTAGATCCTTCAGTCAACAATACTAGCTGAGATCAGCCTTCCATTTATCCTTGCAAGTGCCAGAGAAACAAATGAAATGTAAACGTTCTAAATCAGCACATTTGCCAGATGAATATCACTGAGTGACCTCTGTCAATACCACATGCAACAGAAAAATCAGCTGTCTTAACTCTGATCAAATTCCTGACAGATAAAATAGTAAGACAAAATATAATGATGCTGTTTTAAACCACTAAGCTTTATGGTAGTTTTTATATATCAAAAGATAACTGGAACAAACAGAAACCTCGGATATTAAGCCACTATCAGAATACACTTACCTTGCACCAGCCAATATAACAACCAGTTGTAGTGTGAATGGATGCAAAGCCCATTTGTAAATACCCAGGCTGCTCTTCAACATATTTAGACTGAAGAGGTGGCACAGTATATATGGAGAGCTAGAGGCAAAATAAAAATTTAGGTCAAAAACAAAATAGCTGGACTGCCTTTTCCAGCAGTGTGACAAAACATGAATCTTCATCAACCTTCCTCCTAAAAACAACTAATACTAATAATAAAATCTATCTTAAATGCAGGGATTATGTAGTAAACTTATTAGAAAGATTATTAAGAGGCAAGTAAGTCATGCCAACTGTTATGGCTTATATCTAGATGTCCCCCGCAAAGCCTCATATGGTTACAGGTGGAGCTTTTGGGAGGTGGCTGGATCTAGAATGTGTGATGTTGGGATCAAGGATGTGATGCTGGGATAGATTCATGGTGCGATGCTAGGATTAAGGGTGTTCCACCTTGGGTGTGAGTGCTACCCACCCTTAGGGATAGAATATAAGGGACAGGAAGGAGGCTGCTGTTGTCACTGCTTATCTCTTGCTGCTTGCTGCTTTGCTGCCTTTTGCTTGTCACCCTGCCTTGGAGCCAGCCAATTATGGACTGAAACCTCTATAAACTGAGAGCTTAAATAACTCCTTCACCTTTGGGTGTCGGCTATTTTGTCTCAGCAATGAGAAAAGTAACTAAGACATCACATATAGTATGACTGGGTGGTTCTAGTCCTAGGTATTTTCAGAGGAAACTACATTATTGGTGCATATACAATAACATTCCATACCAAAACTGCAACTGTAAAAATCTGGAAACAATCCAAATGTTCATAATAAATGAATAAACTAGGGCATACCCATACAACATATTATAAATTAGGAAAAATATAAAATTATAGACACATAGAAAACCTGTCAATTTCAGGAATACAGTGTTAAGCAGAAAAGGTTAAAACAAAGAAAATTGCATACAGGTTAAGTTTCCAACAATATATAGTTCAAAAACATGCAAAATCAAAAATAATTCAAATTTTTCAGCAATATAACATTTAAAGTAAAATTATAAAACAAAGGAAGAAAATGATAATGTCTCAGAGTAGTGGTTAACTCTGAATGAACAGGATGGAAAATGGGATTGTTTTGTTTTCCTTTCAAACTGGGTGATAGGTACATGATTGCCCATCATATTATTGTTATTTATACCTTTCATATATTAAATAAATACCCTTTGGCATCTTGTCAATATTTAATAGAAATAAATATGAACATAACTAGGAAAATTTTAATCTAACAACTTACTGACTTTAAAAAAGTGAAAAAAAATTTCTTGTTCAAAGTGTAGTACTTTTCCATTGAGTCTGGTGAAGACGTAATTGGGTAGAATCAAGTTTACAAATCAGCAAGGGAACTAGATGATTAATCGCCTTGGATTTGATCCTCTACCAAGAACATGAAATGACAGTAATAATATATTGTATTCTTGAAAAATTTTGAGAGTGTATGGAAAATGTTCTCACTCTCAAAATCATAACTATGTGAGCTAATATATAGGTTAACTAGCTAGATTTAGTGATTCCACAATGTATATATACTTCAAAACATGTTGTGAAAGGTAAATACATACAATTTTATGTCAATTTAAAATTTTTTTAAATTGAAAAACTATTCTAGGAGTTGGCTGAACAAGTTTTATTTTACTGTTAAATTACTCTTTGCTACTCACACCAATATTAAAGAATTAGTGTTTCTCTTTCTGAATAAATGCTTGAATTTAAATTCACCAAGTTGGCAGATACACATAAGTAGGAAGGTCAGAAATGCATACTTTACAATAAAGGTACATTTTATATATAAAAACTAGATGCACTGTAGTTAGGAATGTTTCCCTTCTCCCTAGAAAGACAGCCTATATTTGGATGTACTAGTATTAAGAGTGAGCAAATTTACTTACTTGTTTGCCCATTATGCCCCCAACTTATCTATTCTTTATACTCTCCAATTCCAAACTCTATGAATCACTGTGTTTTTATTCTTCATCTATCCCCATTGAAATCTTTTGTTTGTTTGTTTGTTTTGGGGGGTTTTTTTGGTACCGGGGATCGAACTCAGGACCTTGTGCTCCCCAGGCAGGTGGTGGCACCACTGAGCTAAATCCCCAGCCCCATACTGATACTTTTAAAAACTGTTTAATAAGAATGGGACTTTAAAAAGCATTTTATAATTAGCTACCAGCTTATCAAAAGACTCAGATAACCATAACATCATTCAAAAATTATTCTAGGTTAGTAGAGGTTTTATTATAAATAGGTTTAAATAGAGGTATGGCTCATTTTACACAACAGAAGTACCTGGAGATATTGCCATGTAAATCATAATTCTATCACTTTAGAAATTCTAAATTTTTCAAGATTAGATCGTGATTTTTGTGGACAGTCCTCAGCACACAGTTGGCAACCAACTTTGTTTACTAATAAGTAAATTCAAATTAAATGTACTGAGGAATACAATAAATATCAAGGAATCCGGTATATTCCATAACATAGTAAAAATGTACTACTTTATTTTACAATACAGAAACATGGGAACTCAGCTATTAGGGACAAATGCCAGGTCCTTATCCTATTATTTAGATTTTTGAGCTACCCAAATATGGGAGTGTCAAAGAAAGTTTAGTTTGTTTATTTATTTATTTATTTATTTTAATTAAGTTTATTGGTACATTTTAGGTGTACAATATGATGGCATTCATCATTGGGAATTTGTACCTTTACTTAATATATCTTGGTTCTTGTTTTTTCCCCATTCCCCTGCCCTTCCTTCAACCCCTCCACCCCTCCCTCTTTACAAAGACTTTGTTTCTGTTTTTTCCTTTTCTCATATTTTTTCCTTTCCCTTTTCTCCTTTCTCCTACCCCTTCTTTTCCCCTTTCCCCTACCCCTTCTTTCCCCCTTCCCCTTCCCTTTGGACCTTTTCTTTCTACTGCACATTATTATACATTTTGATCCTCAATTACGTTCAGTTTCTCACACCAGAGAAACTATTTGGTATTTATGATTATCTTCTTGAGAATAATGAAGAAAGCCAAGTGTATAGGGAAGTGAATCTACCCTAGATTGCTAATAAAAATTAATAAAACCTTACACAGTGCTTAGAAGAGTGTCTCACACCCACAGAAGAGGAGCTCAAGAAAAGTTTTTTGTTTGATGTATGAATAACATGTTTTTTGCATGTTAGTATAACAGAAAATTAACTTTTGCACCTTCTGACTATAATTCTGTTTTCAGGAATTCATCCTATGAAAAGTTATAGATGTATGCAAAGATTTACATAAAAGGTAATTCAACAAGCACTGACTATTATAGCAAAATAACTGAAAATACTCTAAATTTCCAAAAATATTACGGAGTTGGTACATTTGATTATACAATAGAATTACATCAGTATTAGGAATTCTACCTGATGATATCCAACTAGTTAGTGATGGAGTCAAAATTCAGATTTAGGCCTGTCTGATTTAAGAATGCATTACTAAGTACATACACAGATCTTAAGTCTGACTTGAAACTGGAAGACATAAGTAGCAAAATGGTGAATAAAATCAGTAATCACAATTACATCTCAACAGGCTGGGATAATAGGCCAGATCAATAAGATGAAATTTAAACAGGCATAAGTATAACTATAACTGAGGCCAAAACGTTGAACGGCACAAATACAGACCAAAAGGAGACACAGCTTACTAGTTACACATGTTAAAAAGTTTAATGAATTTTTTAAATGGCAAGTTCAATATGGCATGGTCAATGACTGTTATGAGCATGGTTGATTCTGATCACTCCAAATAAAAATATACATAAAAACTAGTATGATCTTAGGCAGCATTAGAAATATATCTAGATTAGAAGAGTCTGACATCTTGCAGTAGGCAAATACTTATTATACCTGAAGAAAACACTAACCATCCTGAAAACATGTGGCAGAAAGTAATCACAATAGTGAAGTAACTCAAAAGCTATGTCACGAGGAATGATTAAAACAAATAATATGTTTATCCAAGAAGTAAAATTATCTAAAGTATAACTGACATCTGAAGCACTGATTTTTGGAAGAGAAATAAGAATTTTTCTGTATAACACCAATTCAAGAGATACAGCACCACTGGGTAGCAGTTCCAGAAAATTCAGTGGGCTCCGTAGGTTCCTATTGTAGAAGGAATGACAATACCAAACAGGAGGCTGAACATCTATGGTCATTTCCAAAACTGAGATGTTACATAATGATTTCTCAAGATAAGACATCTCAATATTGGGTGTATTTGTATAAATTTTTTTAGGAAAAAGTCAAGACTGCTTAGGTCTGATACCTTGTTCCACTTATTGATTATTCATTAAGAAAAATTAAAATTGCTCTTCACTGATGTTAGAATTTTATTTTGGGGTATTTTATAACTATTTCTTTTAACTTATAAAGTGTATCTAACAGAGACTTCAAAAATATTTTAATAGAGACAACTATACATAACACAAAACAACACAGCTTTTACGTTATCTTTACATTATGCAGTTTATAAACTTTTATAAACAAATTACCTGCTCTGGTCTCACTAGCTGCTTTTTGGATTCCTCTTCTTTGGCCATATGCACACTTACAGATGCATATATCACACCCACAGGCATGGTGGTCAGCTTTTCTATCTGAGAAAGATATAGCAACAAAGACCTTTTTAATTTAAAAGCTTCCCGACTTCCATTTGCTGATAAATTCTGAGGCATCCCAGGAACATTACTGTTTCCTCTAAAAATATTAAATTTTATATTTAATAAATTAATTAATTTAATAAATATATTATAATTTAATGCTTATTATCATGAATTTAATATTTATTAAATTTAATAAATTTAATTAATTTTAATTTAATAAACTCTACATTGCATCATATTTTATAATACATATCTTTTAAAATTCTCTTTTCTTACTGGATAGCAAAGTAATATTATCTGTTAATGAATACAGCCACAAAATAACTACCAGGAATGACATCTTTATATAATACTACAACAATATAATAATTACAAAAATTGGAGTGATGAAGTATGATTGATCATGGTACTCATTCAACCCACAAGTAATCAAACAGCTACTTTGAGCAAGACCCTGGTCTCAGTCCCTAGGGTACAATGGTGAACAAAATAAATATTCCCATGAACATGAAATTGACATACTAGTGGAGATCAGGCAGGTAATAAACACAATAATAATACGGTAAATTACAAGTTGATAAAAAAGTGGAGGGTAAGAATAAGGTCTAGTGAATTAGGTGATGTAGACTGTATCTCAAAATACTATTTCTATACATTATTCATAGAAATAATTTCCTTCCATCATAAATCCTTTGCTCCTGACTTTTCCAATTTTTTACCTGTTTCATGCTTAAAGCCACTTGTGATTTTTGTTTTGAATATATAACATGATCTGAATTAAGAAAACAGGAAAATTATTGGCTCTAAGAATAAAATGTTACAGTGTTATTCAGACACTAAAATAGATTTTTAAAAATTACACATTCAAGGATGCCAAATAAAAAGATCTTCCAAAACAATTATTTTCATAGACTGATTTTTTTATTTTTTACTTTTATTAGTACATGTTTGCAGTACATAATGATTACATTGACTGTAGGAGATTGGTAGATGTACATCATACATTTCAGTTCCCTTCTTTCCCCCTCATCCCCTTTTACTTTTACAGCATCAAATTCATTTATCTTGTAATATCTTATAAAGTTAATTATCATAAAGATTGAAAACCAGATTAATAAGACCAAAAAAATATAAAATATGTAAGACAATTGTACTAATTCAAGTACACTTTTACATACATTGTCTGCACTGGATTACAATACCTTTATGTTTTCTCTTTTTCCCATTTATCTTTTATTTCATTATATATATATTTTTTTCATATAAAAGAAACCATGAGATATTTAAGCTTGTGTGTCTGATTTACTTCAATTGACATTATGGTCTCAAGGTGCATCCATTTTGCTACAAATGACCGAAATTTATTCTTTTTATGGCACAGTAATACTCCACTGTGTATAAATATCACATTTTTATCCATTCATCTGATGATAGATATATACGATGTTTCCAATTTAGCTATTATGAATTGCACTGCTGTAAATATGGGTAAGCGTATATCACTATGGTATGATATCAGTAATTCTTTTGGCAAGATACCTAGAAGGGGAACAGCTGGGTCAAATGGAATTTCTTTTAGTCTGAAGACAGTCCATACTGATTTCCATAGTGGTTGTTATCAGTTTATAGTCCCAATAACAATGAAGAAGAGTTCCTTCCTTCCCGCATTCTTGCCAGCATTTGTTTTTGGTTGATTTTTTGATGGTAACCATTCTTTCTGGAGTGAGATTCTCATATGCCTAGCAATTTTGAACAGTTTTTCATGTATTTATTGGCTACTTGTACTTCTTAATCTGAGAAGTGTCTATTCACTTCAGATGCCTTTTTAAAACTGGGCCTTTAAATTTATGGGGGTTCTAATTTTTGAGTTTTCTATATATTGTAGATATTAATCCTTTGAGGAGTTTCAAGTGCTCGATATAAAGAAAATTGGTTTTATAAACACATTGCCTATTGTCTATATGCAATAACTTAAGTTTCTCATTGATTACATTTAAAAACTCCAGAGATGAACATAAATATGAAACAAAAAATCCTATAATGAGAGGACTCTTTTGAGCTAAAAATAAACAGACACAGTTTCTCGACTGGTGTGTTTATCACCACCACTCTTGCAAGAGTATAAATCAAAGCCTCACTTTCACTGCCTCAGGAGTCCAATTTGGATCTAAACAAGTAAATTTACTTCTTTTGATCAGAGGCTCGCCTGGGAAATTCTGTGTCTGTGTGGTAATGGGTCCTGGTGGAGAAGGAGATACATTCCACCCCATCTTCTGGTAGCCCGCTTTATCCAGGACTTTTTGTCTCCATGCAGAAGCCATAGAACGCTTGAGAATGCTGTTCTGAAGGACAGCAAAACCCACATAGAAGTGATAGAACAGAAACTTGTGATGGGCAAATAACCTCTTGAACGAGTCAAAACAATTAAGACTATAAATACTGCCTCCTAAAGGTATAAGAAAGCTTTTCCCAGAGTACATATAAAACCTCCACTGGAGATTACAGAAAACCAACCAACCAAAAATAACAAACAGACATTTTAAGTCTTAAAAAACAAAGATAAGAAAAAGAAATTCTTCCTCAAACTTTGCCCAAGATAAATGCCATTTTCTGAATTTACAAGAGCCCACTGTTGTAAATCTTAGCTAATTGATGAATTTACTTTTGGCTTTCAATCTAAGTTGGTATTTTTGTTTAATTAATATGCTTAAAATATATTTGCACTTTGTAACTTTTAAAATTGCAATTATGGGTCAGTCTGTTCTTCTGCTGCTTTAGTACAGAAAAGGTTACTATGGAATATTTATTGGCCACCAAGAGGCTTGATGGCAGCCAGCCAAATTTACAAGGTAACAAATTGGGAACACACATGGCTACAGCCAAATCTGTTATTAAAAAAATAATAATAAGCAAGAAGGACAGAGAAAAGCATATAGCAAAAAGCTATAAGTATAAAAGATGTATTTTAATATGAAAAAATTTTTCTATGATGAAATTATTGCCTATCAGAAAGAACAGAAACAAATAGCAGCAAGAGTAGAAAGGCTCAACCACGTCAAGGATGTTTGTGGAGGATGCAGTTTATAGAAATATGTATGTGTGCTTGTTGATTTAATTGACCCCAAACTACTTCTGGAAGTTCCTTGTTATTCAAAGAAGATTTGGGGGCTATGACCCTGACTCTCATCAATTACTCCTCCCCACGTCTCAACTCTTCTCCCCAATTTAACTGACGCTTTCAGACAAAGGCTATAAGTCTCATTTTTGACACTAATATTAAACATGAGCTTTTCTGCATGACTGGTGAGACAAATAAACTAGTCAATAACAAAACACAAGACAAAGCTGCCTTCTTAAGCAGTTTCAACCTAATTTATAACATCCATTATCACTTGCTTTATAGTATATTAAACATATTTATATCTCCCAAATTTACAGATCTTCAAAGATACAAAACTAAAAAACATCACATTTGTGACTTCCAGACTAAAATTATCTGATGGTAGAATTTTAAACTGAAATATCTGACTTTCCTTTACTTGTATTCCAGCTATTGGTGATAAAATATATATACCAATCCAACATAGCCATTCAAAAAATGCATAAATTTTTTCAAGGCTTATAACACTTAAAGATGATCAACCACTGTACAGTCCTAACAATGACATATAATAGACATCTATACACAGATACATCCTTCTAAGATAATACAGATTTGGATAAAAGTTTCTTCATGTCATTTAATATAATGATGTCATCACGATTGTTAAGCTAATATGTTACATTGCCCTGGATCTCAAGTTTTCTCTACAAAGCTTTATACTTGTTATCTGCTAACATTCTACAGAGATTCAACTTCTAGGACAACCATGATTGATAACAAATAGTTCCCTAAACAATCCCTCAATATTGTCACTGATTCAGCTTATGTTGTAAAAACCCTACAGGTTATGAAACTGCCCTTATCCATATGGTAATGATGAAATTCTCTTCCACTTGTTTAGACACCTACAAGAACTGATTAGACACCACACTGCATCTATATGCTCTCACTCTAATCTCCCTGGCCCCTTAATAAAAGGGCAACGCTCATGCTAGTTATGTTTTCTGCCTCTATAGAGGAGGCTCTTGCTTCACAACAATTTTTTCATCAAAGCACTAAAGCACTAGTTCTTTCTTTTAATCTTACAAACAAACAGGTCCCAAATATCATTCACACCTGCCGTGACTGCCATAAACAGATTCAATTTGCTCCTTATATAGGTATCAATTCCCATGGTTTACAAAATGAAATTTGACAAATAGACTAACTCATCACAACACTTTTGGTGAATTTAAATATATTTTTATAAATATCTGCTCTGAATATATATATCTATATTCCTCTATAGTCAGGTGAAACTGTAAAACACGTTAAATGCCATTTACTCTCATGTTTTTCTGTAATAGCACTGCCTTCACAAATTAAAACTGATAATAGCCCTGTATGTACTTCCAATTATTTTCAGGCTTTCTTTCAATTCTGGCATATTAAACATATCCCTGGTATAACATAAAACCCTACAGGCCAAACTACAGCAAAGCAGGCTAATGGGCTTCTTAAAACCCACTTATTAAAACAACAAGGGGGAGTACGGAGAAGCTCCCACTACAAGAACAAGTATCTAAAGCATTATTCATTTTAAATTTTTAAAACTGTTATTTAGAAGGTTTCATTGATGCAGAGAAACAATTTATTCCCACAAAGGACAGCCCCAAACCATTGTTCCTTTACCATTACCCATTGTCAGGCCCACAATGGCTGGGTCCAACAGAAATAGTTAATCTGGGGAAGGGGCTATACATCTGTTTTGTCACCCACAGGCCCTCTTTGGGTTCCTATAAAGGCTGTGCATCCATACCATGTGGCACTAAGTGAGACACCACAAAGAATGAGAATTCTCTTCACTTCTAAAAACCTGATTCTTGCAATGATCATGCAAGTAACTTATAAC